TACATTGTCTTTGATTTTTTTTTTTTCTTTCCACACTGTCATTATGCTCTGAGAATAAATATGACAGACATGAATACTAACAAGGGACACAGAAGATGGTCTAAAATACGTCCATCAATCAGCCACTATATCAGCTTATCAACACTTGTCAGAATGTACATTTCAAAAACAGCCCTGAAAGAAAGGCTGGAAGACAAGAACCTAGGTTTTGCCTATAGATTTTTCTTTACCTTCACTTTTCATAAACCAACGAGCAACACAGACATAGTATTTAAAAAATGTGTATCTTCATTTCTGATAGTTTCACCACATCTCCTGCACATCTCCTGCTGAAAAGGCAAAACCCAACATATATACCTGTAAATCTCATAGCTCCGCCAAAGCTAATCTTACCAAACAGACAAACAGATCCAGTAACTCCTGCCTTGACAAATTCCAACACAACAGCACACAATCTTTTTAAGAAACAAAAAAATGTGTTCTAAGAGATGCCAGTGGCTAAAAATAGATGTATTTCTCAAAGGAAAAATTGTTTGTTTGAGCTGGGCCCTAGCGATGCAAAGAGCAGATCTGACATGGAGATATTTGGCGCTCTCTTTCTCTCCCTTTCAGATGACAATGAGCATGAATGGATCGTTCGGACCTGCCGGAAAGCTTGGGACGAAACAATTGAACATAAACCGAAACCATGAAAACAGTTTTTGCTAGACGATTATATTCCAGAGCAGGTAATCTGATTCACAATAAATCTAATTTGTCCTTGTGGATTTGTCTCACCCTTTCCCTCTACAGGAATATAATCTTTTTGTCATCTTTGTCAGCACAAACAAAAATGGAAATAATCATTTAATCAGTCATGCTGAGAAAAAGCCATGGAAAAAAAGCAGACTGTACTCACAATAATATTCCTGAGAGGTGTGTAGGGTAGTATATATACACGTTATTAAGCCTGAAAACAATTTGTTAAAAAGAGTGCCTCAGATTCAGTGTTGAAGTCATTCAAATCCATCTTAATCAACATTATTTTCCCAGATTTTAGTTAGCTGTCCTGGTGAATTCCTTTCCTCTCTTTTTGCTCAGTACTTTGATATTGATTGATCATTGTAATAATGTACACCAGAGGTATTCTTTAATGACTGGTTTGCTAACTAGGAAATTATATCCATTTACTACGAACGTTTGTTGAACTCTCCTGAAGCCAGAGTTTAACAAAATAATAAAAGAGGAAAACTGGGTGGGTTGCTGCTTGATTAGTAAGCCAGAAAGTATTTAAAAATAAAATAAAATGGAATTACATCATTTTCTGGATGTAAGTGCCAGCACTTCTACTTGCATTAACTTTATTTATTACACAAATAAGACATTTACAAAGCACAACATTAAAAGTATGTAACAAAACAGACATTGGTTTTACAAAAAAGTGCTTACAATTTAGTTTTACTTTTTTAAAATAAATATTAGTCTTGACTGTCCACTCATTCAGAGAATTTTTTTTTTTAACCATTGTAGCCAAGACATGCAGAATTGCAACATGCTACGACAAAATGACTGGCGGATGAAATAAAACTGATGTGTCTATAGTTGGCATCCTAAGATACATCACTGCTAGTAGTGCAGGATTGGTTCCCACTTCCCCATCCCAACTAGTAAGTTGTGTAAGCACCTTTAGCTCGGGCATTGGGGTTAACCAGCATGAGCCGAAAAAAAAAAATAATCGGTAGTAAAACTGTAAACCGTTCCGCTTTCAGAGCCTAGCCATATTTAGTTACCTTATTAAACTTGAACAGAAAGCCTTTCACTGGCTACCTTCATTGGGTTTTGTCTGCAAAAGGTTTTGTAAATAGCAACTGGAAAAGTTTAGTACGTGGAGTCTGCATTGCTGCACCAGAACCCATTTGGGAATTACTGAATATAGTAAGAAAATGAGAATGATTTTAATTTTATTTTTTTTTAATCTACAGACAGGAGATGAATGCAAATGACCTGAGATAAGGTTTGGTTCAGTGGCAACAGTCAGTGTGAAATATGTTGTGAAACAATGTATTGAATAAATTAGAGGATTTCTTACATTCTTGGTACAGTTGAGTATTTTCCATACACATAATTAGCTCTAAAACTGCACAAGCTGAATTGCTTCCAGTTTTTGCAAACAATTTGGGCTTAATATAAACAGAGCCTGATTTCTGAATTAGCAAAGCTGCTCCTGGCTACTTACGGGGCAAGTGCCCCGGCGCCCAGTCCGTGCGGGGCAGTTCGCCCCGCGCGTAGTGGTGAGGCCGCTTCCACCGGAGAGAAGCACCTACGCTCCCTTGGCCCTCCGCTTCGCACTCCGGTCCTGTCAGTGGCATCAGTTACAAAAACTTTGATATACAGTACATCTCACAAGTGGTTTTTGTTTTTTTTTTGATCAGTAACTAAGTTGATATTTAGCAGATACATATTTAATAGTTTCCCTTTCATTGCACCGCTGAGACAGAAGAGAAATGCATCAAACCATTTTCTCCCTCAACAAAAGAGTTGTGGAAATCTCAAGTACTGTGGGATGTCAGGTCAAGTTACAGCCTGAAGTCTCTCCTTCAGTCTTAAATGGAATAGCTACCCACTCGTTTATGGCACTAATTCCACAACTGAATGATCATTAGGATGCGCGAGCACAAGCAGAGAAGAGAGAAGAAAGTTGGGCCCCGGTGACCCTGCCGACCACCACCAGCGTCTCAAGGCTATTGCGTGCGGACACAATTCACTTCAACCTCCCGGTTACAAACGCTCCACCAACAGCCAACAAAGGGAATGCCCTGTCCTGCGCTCATTGCTACGGACAAGGAGAAAAGTGACTGCAAGGGGTGCAACTTGTGACCGTCCCCTCCCGAGGGGATGCTGCTGCAGCGGTGGTTCCAGCCAGGTCAGGCGTGCGGGAGTGCCTTGCCACTGCCTACACACTGGAAATGGTTATTCGCACATCAGGAGGTGACAATAATTCTTTGCGGACTTAATTTCCCCTCTCCTTGCAAATGTGAGTTTAAATTGGGGATAGAGCTGCTAGCTGCTGGCTGCAATTAGACAGAATACTGGCCTCACTGTCCAAGGTATTACCATCGCACTCTCTCTCTGTATTTTTTTAATATACACACACACACAGAGGAGTGTGTGTGTGTATATTTGTTCCAACAAATATCAATGCATGCTTGTATTCAGTTACTTCTCAAACCAAGAGATCTTAGTGGCCACCTCAGCAGTCATCCACACCTCCTTATGCCATCCTGCGTGCGGTCAGAGCGGCGAGCGTGCCTCAGTTAGCTGGAGCCGCGTGTCCGGCTGTCGGTGTCTCACGGAGCTCGGGGGCACGGTCAGGAGAGGGCTTGCCGTGTGTGCAACACGGACCGGCCAAACCAGTGGGATGGCTGCCCACCCGGCCGATGTTGGAAATTGATCCAGGATCTCCCAGAAAGAAAAACACATGTATCTACAGTTCGAATTAAAAACAAGTTATGTAACGGATGGATTCCTGTCGTCTGTTCCTCAGGCACAGTTCGGTCATATTACGCACTAACTGTGGCTCATAGTAGGCTTTCACATTCTTGGAAATGCGGCCTCACAGACACTTAGCAGCAAGACAGACCCGTGTGCTTGCATGGAGAAAGGTTTCATTACAGACCTGCTCTTGGCTCGGTGCAAACTGAGAAGGGCTGGCAAAGGTTACTTGTTTACTTTTTGTTATTACCGTCAATGAAGGATCATTTCGGAGTTGTTTTCCTGATTTGGGGCCAGGCTGCTGAGCACTTTCTTTGCTGTTGCAATGAGCCCCGCGGTGCCGGCCCCGCCAGCAGCAGTCCTCCGAGGACTTGGCAGGAGCAACAGCCGTACTCCAGCGAGGGAGACAAACAGGAGGGCAGAGGGGCTCAGAGCGACGCTGCCAGATAAAGGAATACGCCATCACCTTGCTGTCCACTCAGCTAGCGACTGCTCCTGCTGGCCTTCCTGCAGTTGGCACCTTTTTAACTGGTCTCCCGTTTCTACCCCACTGTTTCCACTAACTGAACTTGGGTCCACACCAGGGCAGAACATTTCTGCGCCTTTACGGTCAGCTTCCATTGAGGATTTCCCAGTCCCAGAGCATGGAGTGTCTGAGAGTTTTGTGTAGGTACATTCTGAAATCACCCATTTGTGATCCAATATGACTCCAAGGAAATAAAGTAGCTTGTTAATAAAGAACAAGAGTAAAAAATAAAAAAAAAAAGATTTGGCAGATGGCTGTGAGAGGAGAGAGATATTCAGTGCTCTAAGAACAAGTCAGCAATCAAAAATTTCCGAGTGCTAAACCTGGCTCTGCCACCAACCCTCACGGTTCCTCTCGGTTTAGGACATCTCGGTTTCCCCTCCTATAAAACGGGGGGAAAAACACTAAGATTTACTTACCTTAGGGTGATCAAAGGACATGTGATTCTAAAGCACTTTGAGGAGGAAGAAAAACTGCCTATTTCCAGCTGGCATCGTGTTTTCCACTTAGTGGAGTCTCAGCTACCCACGAGTTTGGCTCAGGAAGGTCTGTGTGTATATCGAGTTGCTGAGCCAAAAAAAAAGCCCATTTCAGATTTCACACATGCAAGTGGAAATAAGGAGGGATGTCCGGGAACCGGCAGTGCTTCACTGGTGCAAAAAGAGAATCAGGCCAAACCACGTAAATTCCTCCTTCCTTTATGTTCAGAGGTGATCATCGACCCCCCTGAGACTCAGCATGTTCTGGTTTGTTCATATTCCCATGGGTCTGGGAGCAAGATTTGCAAGCACAGTAGAGTCACTAATTTTGACTGTGTCTGGCATTGCCTTGGAGAGACTCACGGTCATTCTACAAGTCCACAAGAAACAAGTGAAAAATGTAACTCTGCACTCAACACACACATACACAGAGTGTCGCTGGAGAAATAATAGTGGATGTTAGGTGCTGGTCAATGGAAATAACTGAGAATGCTGGATCTGAGTTTCTCCTGCATGACTGACAACAGTTGCCTTGGGCTGGACGCCGTGTTTCAGCGGCTGAGGGGCAGTGGTGCTGGTAGCGCCATGGGCAGGTGAGGAAGAGTTCGCGCAGTCAATACTGAAAGAGGATGACCTAGTGGGAAAAACGGGAATCGAGCGTTAGCTGCGTTCAGAGACAGACAGCCCTCGCAGGGGAAATGGGGATTCAGGGACCAACAGCACAGACACGTGCCCCGCTGCGGCGGCGGGCGCCCAGGCAGCCGCTTCCCCCCGGGAAAATCCCTCTCTGGGACCACCGTCCGCCCGGGAGCCGCCAGCCCTGCCCACGGGACGGAGCCGGCCGGGGAAGGCACAGGCAGAAGCGACGGGACTGTGGCAGCACACAGCCTGAGAGAGGGGTGCACCTCCCAGCACACCTTGAGCTGTGAAACCACATCATACTGGGCAACACGCTGAAACCAGTATTTATTTGTTCTGTGATACAGCAGCTACCAAGAAAGATGACGACCGCTGCCAACAGTCCTTACTCTATCCGCCTCACTTGCTAATCACCACAGGCTTCCCTCAATCCGCTATACGTCGCTGCTCTGCACGTACGGTGTCTGTCCTTGCCGTCAGTCGGGGGAGCGGCCGCTGAGCCCGTCACAGCTCGGTTCTCCCACAGCCGCCGCGCTGGGTGCCCCGAGAGGAGTGGGGGTGTGCGCCCCGCGTGCGGGTGGAAACAGAGACTTAGCATTTACACGTGTTTTCCCAGGATCTCAGCTATCACTGCTTTTAAAAAATTTTGGATGTGGAAAAAGAGGCTGCTTCAGGTTTCGGGAATTCAACGTGCCAGTGACGGTCTGGAAAAGGAGCGGGTCGGCGGGCAGCTCCATGTCCCGAGAACCCCGTTCTGCACCAGCTGTGAGCAAGTAATCGCATTTAAATCACAGGAACTACTTGCTGCAGTGAAGTTGCTCCGAATGACAGCACCAGGACTGTATAATATTTTCTGAAAACTCTCCCGCTTGCTGTGCAGATATAATGACAAAATGGTAGCATTGCGACAGAAAAAGTACTTGGCCGTACCCCTGCTTGTGCTTATCGAAACAGAGCTCAATAATCTGCAGTTGCTGCACTGAATAGGGAGATTTCAACAGAGGTGCCGAGAACTTCTAACAGTAAAGACGAAAGCTAAAACCAATATGAGTAGCCAAAGGCTCAGTGTTTCCTCAAAACGAACTTAAATTGGCATCCTAAATAAAATCTTATGAGCCTAAGCATATTTCAGAAGCCTGGCCCCCAAATAAGCTGTGTGTTAGAACAGACAGCGTCTTTAAGTGCTGAACAGAAAAATATCAATGATGTGCAATATTGTTTCCTGGCCAGACATTGTGAAATAAAATTCCCACTTCAGATATTGTAACAGCCAGTTGTTATTTTTTTAAGCAATATTGGAATCCCCAAGAAATGAATCTTTCTTATTAACTCATGGAAAACTGGAAAGTCAGCACACGCTAAAGGTCCCCCCCGCTCCGTGGTTAACGGCCAGCCGCTGTTCGCACCGACGCGTGCAGGCAGCTGCGGAACGGAGCAGGAGAACAGAGCTCATTGCACGCGGGAAGGGGAGAGACCGGAGGGAGAGGAGTTCAGGCAGGAGGGTGTCAAAAGCCTTCATGAAGGCAGGCACAGCATCCCAGCACATCACAACAACGAGCGGGGTTCAGTGAAGAGCAAAGTGAGGCTGTTTTGACCGACAGTTGGTACACCAATCTAAGGCCACCAAAATTAAGAAGAGACACATGAGTGGGTGGCAGCTGCCAGAGACCATGGAGAAGCAGTGATGCTGACAGGAGACGGCAATGATGTTACACAAAAATCTTTGCTACAGTTGAGGTTTGGCCCCAAAGCCTAAGACAGGGACTACAATTACCTTCTCACCCCTATTAGATAGTGGTCCTTCCATGTCTGCTTTGAGGTGCACTGGTGGAGCAGTGTAGGGGAGTCTACAGTGCACTTGTCCACACTGTACCTGACCTGTGGATGAAAAGAGGCTTCAGCCTCTGTTACTACAAACAACACACGCCCTGCAACCGGCACGGTCAGGCTTCTGCCAGGGAGCGGCTGGGGACGCGCGTGGCAGAAGAGGTGCCCAGCGGATCAGGCAGAGGCGCAGCAGGAGCCACATTTTACTAGGGCTGCGTGGGCAAGGGAGAGGAGAAGCCTGACGAGTCACGGAGCTAAAACCTCCGTCCAGGCATGACCAAAGCTGCCCTCCGCTCGCAAATGATTCACCAGCACTTGGCAACTGTTAGAGAAGCAACTCTGATCTTGTGGGCAGGAAGGAGACCACTTGACCACCGCGCTCAACAGGGCACGTTCACGCCTCTACTCCGTGACAAAGAAAACACAAGGAGGGCCAAGGACCAGTCGGGTGAAACATGGGCAGCGACTTTCCTGGGGATGAGGTGGGGAGGGAAAAAGGCTGCAGCAGCCCCCGCTCCCCTCCTTCTCTCATCTGGGGCTTCCCCATAAACGGCCCTTCAGAAAATCCCAAAGACAAAGTTCATCAGACCACGAGGAGGAGGAGCATGTGCACCAGCCGTGCACCCGCAGTACAAGGGCGTTTTTGACAGCACTCCGTGCCGTGGTGCTACCGCCTGCTCCCGGGGAGCACCCCATTGCCCTGCCGTCCCCGAGCACCCCGCTGCCAGAGCCCTGCGAGCCAGCACTTACTTTCTATGTATCCGTGCAGCGTCACCATCCGGGCCCGCTCTGGGCTGCTGAAGGGCGAGTAGTGAATGTCATCAGAGAGCGAAGAAGGGATGCGGGACGGGGGGGCTCCCGAGGGTGGCACCGTGTGCTGCGGGGTGTGTTTTTTATGGCGGGGGGTGCAGTTTTGAAACCAAACCTGAAATAAAAGCAGCAAACCCTGTGTCAATGGAGAGACAATTGGATTGAAGTGCGGTCCTTCACCAAGACCCTATGATGGGTCTCTCGTCCAAGTATCTTAAAAAAAGGAATGAAATTTAGAAATCTGCACGCTGAAATACCTCACCAGCGCTCCAACGGCTTCCATAGCTTTGTTTTACACTCACTAGAGCAAGAGTTTTGCCTCAAGACAGTACAGACGTTAGGGTGCCTGAAGTGGCATCTCTACTATTAATTTGTCTTGGTCAAAACCAACACCGTTCTGTATTTGGGTAATTAAAACTTTCAAGCTTGACGCAGGAGTCACTGAGTGAAACACCCTGACTTGGTGATGCAGAAACTCACATTAATGATCACGCTGTTCCCTTCCACACTAAAATAGTTTTAACGGCAAGTTGCTTCCTGAGCGCGAAGGGCTGTGAAAGCCCTCGGGACCAGCGCCGTACCGGCCGGGGAGCGGCCAGGCAGGAATACCCCCGTACCCGAGCTTCGGCTGGGTTCATCCATCCCTGCAGGCAGAAAGCCTCGTCCCTGCATGGCTCCCACGGCAAACGATGGGAGCACCCTTCAAGGTCTGATTTAGATTTTAACCTTCAACCCCAGCTAGTCTGGCCTAAAAACACCGCTGAGATCAGCTGGGAAATACATGAGCATTGGCAAGGCAAGAGACAAGGGGAAACAAAACCCAGTGAAAGCTTAGACTAGGAGAAGATGTGACTTTAGGGACAATGAAAACAATGTTGTTTTAATCACTTGTGGTTTATTTTATTCAAAAACCACATCAGCAGAACGTTAAAGCTGAGAAAGGAGTGTACTGTGGGATACAGCCCTACTCCCTCTGAGCAGCAGGTGTGAGCCCTCTGAGCGTACCTCACTGCTTCTAATTAAAGGAATAGTTAGGGGATTGCGTCCTAGAGTTAAAACATGCACGGGGAGGGGGGTTCTATGCTAATGTGGTGATTTCTTTCTTATGCTTTAATTTTTGAAAGATAGCTGGGAGTAAAAACCTTCTCCAAGGCTGAGAGAAGATCAGCTCTCTGAGGCCGCGCATGCTGGACCACAGAGAAGGAAACAGTCGTAAGCATTTGACAAATTGTTTCCTGTTCAAAGCGCCTTTAAAAAACATCGACATAAAAAATAGCCCAGTGTGCAGACTGCTTGCTCTTTAGCTAAATGAAGAATCTCAATAACGGAGGCTCGAGCCAGATTTTCACACACGAAATTTAAATGTGTCATTGGCAAAACAATCCTGGATGAAAGCTCCAAATTTATTTCAATCGCTCATGGTTTTATTGTATGCAGAAAGTATGTCAGCAGAACATTAAAGTGAAGAGTATAAATGTCACCGGGGAGCAAAGCTGGGCTGTCTACGGGGATGGCGAGCTGGGAGCTGCAGAGGGGACGTTTCTCTCCGTCCCTACGGCACCACTCTCCCTCCCCTCCCGAACAGCACGAGCATGAGGACTTCCCTGCCACCGCTTCCCCTGGGGCTGCAAAACCCCTTTTTCTTTAAACTTCTCAATCCCACCACCTCCCGAAGCAGCTGGCTTTGCCTGCTCCCTGCGGGGACAGCTGCCGGGGACGCGCCCGCGCTGCCCGTGCCCGCTGTCAGGGCAGAGCACAGAGCTCCGGAGCACAGAGCTGCTAACGGCAGCTTTCCCACCCAGCAGTTTATTGGGACTGGCTGGGGCTGTATGGTTTGGGTTTTTTTCATTGCATCATAAGAGGGAAAAACAAATAGAAAACCCACGAACGAGACAGAGGAAGGACAGTGCTGGCACCGCAACGGGACCCGGCAAAGCCGACACACCAGTGAGGCAGCACGAAGCTGCTGGATGCAGCAAGTCCCGGGGTCGATGTGCAGCAGCGAGGGGCTACAGGGACGTGAGCCCTGTCCAGCACCAGCCTTTTGGTGCATCTCCTCTGCCCCCTTCCTTGGCCCTGCTCAGCCGATGGTGCCTGCACCCTGCCCATCCCTGCCCGCACCCTGCCCGCCCCCGGCTGCCCCTCACCTGAATGACTCTCCGACTCAGCCCCGTCATGTCCGCCAGCTTCTGAAGCGTTTGTGCGTCGGGGTTGTTGTCCTGAGCAAACTGTGCCTGCATGACCTGGCGGGGAGAGCAGAGAGGGGGTCAGGATGAGCATGGGGAGCCACAGCCCCTCCGGCCCCCCCAGCCCAGCCCCGCTACCTGCAGCTGCTCGGCGGTGAAGGAGGTGCGGGCCCTCTTGGCCGGCTTCGGCTGGCTGTCCTGCTCCGAGGGCACAGCCCCCTCCAGCGTGATCCCGTTGCCTACGAGAGAGAAGCCCCATGTGCTGCAGGTCAGAAACTCCCCTGCCCACCGGCCTGTCGCCCCCGTGAGCAACGGCCGCTCGACCGGGGGACAACACGGCTGGCATTGCGGCGTGGGGCACCTGCAGCATCCCTTGCTGCGAGCCGTAGCAGAAAGAGCAGAGCCAGCACCACCGCTCAGGGTCTGCCCCAGGCTGCTGAGCCCCTCCAGGAGGCACCACCAGCCCCGAGGAGTTTACCACTGAATTAAGAAAAATGCAGCAAGTTGGTGGAAGATGCGGGGAATGAGGGACGGGGAAACAGCAGCAGGAAGATGGATTTCGAGGTGATGTCCCGCTGGCCCTGACTCGCGGTCACCACTTGGCCACATCCTCCAGCGAGCGGCTCAGAAGGGGACCCTGCCTCCGCCAGGCTCACCGACATCCATCACTCCTGCCCCATGCTGCTCCCCGTGACCCCGGCTTCCCCTCCGGGCGCTGCCTCCATCAGTTGTTTCATTTGCTCAGAGTGTTTCGATGGGCTCTTTGCTCCTTTCCCTGGCCCCAAATCCTCCCGCACCCCAACCTTCTCCTCCTGGCTCCTGGAGCAGCAGCAGGAGCAGCACCATCCCCATGGCCTTGGGGTGCCGATGCCCTGAGCAGCAACCACACTAAGGGGGACGCGCCAAGGGGGGACTGTCCACCCGGTTGCCAAGCACAGCGTCGGGGTGAGCCCAGCCGTGCTCACACAGCTATGGAGCCTGCGGGGAGGGCGGTCGGAGCTGGCGTTCCTCGCCAGGGTCCCTGCTGCAGCCCGTGTCGTGCCCGGCCCGGCTGCTCTCGGTGGTGCGGGTGAAGCACCGACGAGTGATGGATGAGGGAGGATGCCTGAGCGGGGCTGGTGCTCGCCCCGCTCCCAGGATGCGCCTGCACAACCCGGCGCTCACTCTGCAAGCTGGACTGGGCTGTGATTGTCTTGGCTTGAGTTGAAGGACTTTCTCATATAGTTTGACTTGTTCTTTTAGGATGATGAATGGGACTCTGACTTCAGCAACATCTGTTTATTTTTCTTGTATGTAAAACCTCATGTGCTGAAGAAATTGCTGGGTAATTACTGGAGGGGGGGAGTGTGGCCCTCCAACTCCGCAGCAACTGCAGCTCTCCAAAGTGATCCTATCCCATTTTCAAAACCAGGGGGTACTTGGACACAGGGACTCACGCAGGATACTCGCCACGTGCTCCAGCACTGCCACAACACCATGGGGCACCAGCCCACACCAGCAGGACCCTACGAGCAGCAGCAAACCCTCCGGCCCAGCCCTCGGCTGGGGTAACAGCTCTGTGGGACCCCCCAGCGCCAGACCCTGCCGTCCTTGCACCAGCCTGCTCCTCCAGGCTTCTCGCCCTCCATCCCTGCTCCCCGCTGCCTCGCTCGTGCCTCCGCAGCAGCCAACCATATGGACCTAGATGCCTCAAGCCACGTCCCGAGCTGGGACCCTCCCAGCCCAACTGGGTACTCTGTTTTCATCCTCTTACTCAAACACTGTAAACAGAAACACTGATTATTTTCATGTCAGGTTGTTAATGGTTTCCACATGCTGTACAGGCCGGGACACAGCATTTGCCTGCCTGTGCCCACCAAGCACTCGCGAGGGGCAGAGAGGGCTGGAGCCCTGCTCCCGGCCAGGGGCGATGCCCCAGCGCAGCCCCAGCCCTGGGAGGGTCCTGGGCACGGGGGCCGGTGGGAAGGCGACCCCAGGCCCTTCCCTCGGTGACTCTGCGGCTGCACAGCGTCCCTGGGCAGCCTCCCCTTGCGCGGTGCAGCGCTCACGTGATAAAAACAAACAGCCTCACAGACACCGCAGCCATCGCTCCCTGCAGGCATTAGTGCAGGAGGGAGACGGACCCGGCCTCGGCCCCAGCCACCGGGGCAGGACCCAGCCAGGCTCCCTCCTGCCCTGGGCATGGCCGAGCTCCTGCGGCACCAAGCCCAGAAGGCTGCCTGCTCCCCCGAGCTACGATCGCTGCCGTATCAACATATGTCAGGTGCTTTCCAATGCAGGACAGCCCCGGCGCTGCTTGGCCTCCCCGTGCACCGTGTCGGACTAACCCCATGGATTTGTTCCTCCAAGCGTCTCTCTGGCCGCTGCCACGCAGAGGGATGGGGCTGGGCTGTGCCCAAGGGGAGGGGGTGCCTGACCTCGGTGTCACCAGCCCGGCCCCGGTGGGAGCGGGACTTGATTGGGAAAGCAGAGGCTCGCCAGCTGCTTGTGGCGTGCCGCGGTGGGGACGGCAGCACATGGCGTGGTCCAGCTGGGAGCGGCATGTCCCCAGACGGGCAGGGCGGGTGGAAAATGATGGGAAAGTTTTGTCGGATCGCCAGCTTTCCCACCTTCTAGATTTATGACTCACAGCCTCAAAATCCCAGTGGCTTCCTCCCTCGCTGCACGTGGCGCGCCGGGCTGCGTGGGACTGGGGGCTTGTCCCCGGCATTGCCCATGGCACACAGGTCTCCCACGAGCCACAGGCACTGCCGGCACATCGGCCGCCCCCAGGAGCCCTCTGCCAGCCCAGGGCCTCACACTCAACTCCTCCTGGGGCCACCCATCACCCGCTTTTGGCGATGACAGGACTGGGCCCGGCACCCCACGATGGGGGTCAGCACAGGGGACAGGGACGGCCTGGGGTGAGGCCATGACCGCGGCGTTGGGGCTCCGTACCGTTTTCCGCCGCTCGCTTGAGGTTCTCTATCATGGTGTCGTAGTGAATCCGGCACAGCACCTTCTCCTCCACCAAGCCGAACTCCTCGCCAGTGGAGAGCTGCCGCTTGCAGGAGAAGCAGGCGAAGCAGGCGAGGTGGTAGGCGTTGCCGCGCGCTCGGCGCACCCAGTCGCTGGCGTAGATCTGCCTGCCGCAGCGGGCGCACTTTGTACCAAACCGGCTGCGGGAGGAGAAGAGGCAGGGTGAGGGCAGGCAGGGTGAGGGCAGGCAGGGTGAGGGCAGGCAGCACAGTGCCGGGCTGTGGGCACTGCTGCCAGCCCCATCGCTCGCCCCGTCCAGCCCAAACCCCACAACACTGACACGGGCAAAGGGCCGCAGCGAAACCGCCCCACCGGTGCCATTCCCCCGCGACAGGGCGGCACGGGCAGTGGCGTGGGCAGCGGTGCGGGCAGGAGCAGGGTGTGACTCGCTGCGCCCCCGCGGCGCCAGACGTGGCCGAGGGGCTGAGGTGACGCAGCGCCATGAATCAGCTTCCAAGCCCGTGGGTTTTTGTATTTTGATAACAGCCAGTGTGAGATTCGGATGGAAACTGTGTCAGAGCCGGTTCTCTCCCATTGCCATAAATCAAAACATGTGTTTTCTCCTCACACGTACAGACGCATGCATCTGCTTTTCCTCCTACGAGGAGTTCTCCTCGCTGCGAGAGGACGGTGATTGTGCTCGAGTGAGTTGCCCTGGAAAGGAGCTCAGTGCAACGAAGAGGCAATGAGACAGCCAGGATCCCCGCGCCAGGTGCAGGACTTTTGCGTGTGCTTCTGGAAAACCCCATTTCTGCCAGGACGCCGCTGGCCGAGGGCGGGCGATTCACGGGGAGCCGCAGCCATGGCCCCCGCAGCCCTGGGCCCCTGGGCCAGCGCCTGCCGGGAGGTGCTGCCCACAGAGCAGGCAGGGTCAGGCACGGCCTCGGTTCAGCTTCTGCATTTTAGTATTACTGCTGCTTAAAAAAAAATAAATGCAATGAGCAGCAGCAGCAAGAGCAGCAGGGGAGAAGCGAGCATCTCCTCTGTCACCACAGAGCTGGTGCTGGCTCCGACACGGCCCTGATGGCGGCTGCGGCGCTTCCCCGCACACCCACCGCCTCGGGCCCCCCGGGGGCTCCCACCCGGCCGCCCGCCGCAGTCGGGCCCCGCACGCTCCCGCCCCCCGCACCCAGCGCAGGCACAAAACACCGCGAAGAGACGACCGCACCAGCGGCAGGAGACACCCGGCACCGCAGACCCCTCGGTTTCGGACGCCCAGAGCAGCCCCAGCCGTAGCAGGCGGGCGGTGGGAGAGCCCAGGTCAGCCCGCCACGGCCAACGCACGCTGCCCGTGCCGACACCACGCCGCAGAGCTGCCACCCGCCGCAGGCTCCGCGAGATGCAGAAAGACCGTCCTGTGCTGGAATTACAAACGGCAAAACTATTTGGGAGGAAAAGAAAGGTTTAAATTTTTCAGCCTGACTGTAGCTGACCAAAAAAAAAAAAAAAAAAAAAAAAGGGCTGCCTTAGAGAGGACATTTCTGTGCTGAAATTATACAGAGACTTAGCTAAGAGACTTCACTAATTTACTTCAGATGGGAACATTGTAAACTGACTTTGTGCCAGCTAGTTTATATAAACGCACAAACAAAAGAACTGTATTAATTTTTTATTTAGAAGTAAAGATCATTCCTGTAAATTGAATTACTTTGAACAATGTGCTATGTAAACAGTCATACTTGCTGAACGGTATCAAACGAGGGGCAGGCTTACCGAGCTAATAGCACGTGGTAATCACCGCTCCCCGCTCGGATCGCAGCCTGCTGCGGGGTGGGGGGACACAGCACGGGGACGGGCACAGCCCGGCGCCTCCGGGACCGAGGGGAAACTGAGGCACAGGGCACCGCGCGGGAAATGTCACACGTCCCCATCACACACCAGCTGGGATTGGGGGGGGGGGGACCCAGGTGGCCCCAGACCCATAGCACGGTGCCCCCCGGGGCCAGGCGGGACCCCCAGGTTGGCGGCGGTTCCCAGGGCACGGGGCAGGGGCTGCCAGGGGCACGGGGGCTCCC